AAAAAAAAAAAAAAAAAAAAAAATCTGAACAAAATCAATAAATAATTTTTTTTTCTCTTGGTAAATATTTCTATGCTGCTAAAAGGCACAGCAAAAAAGCAGTGCACTTCTTTTGCCTAATGAAAATTAGTTTCATGTAGCTGTATATTATGATAATTTATGAGGTTCCTATGATGCTTGTAAGCGTAACTACCTGGCAATTTGCTTACTGCTAAAAAGCTCATTTATTCGTATGTTTGTTTATGTACTTCTTAATTTAAACATTAGAAGACGCACTCCTATTACGAGCACAAAAAAAGCACTAGTGAAAAGAGGAACATTTACCGACTAACATTTAGCATTGAAATTCGATTTAAGCAGCGATGACCAGTGGAGGTTCGTTGAGTAGAGTCTGAACCATTTTTGCGTAAATTTAATTTGCATACTCAAACCATTCATTTACGAAGGTTGTTTTTGGGTTTAATCGTGAGAACAAAGAACGAACAAACAGCCAGATGAGTTTTACAGAAATAGATTGCTTTCTACACACTATTAGAAGTAGCATAACAGTTTTTATGAGCATAAGCTAAGTTTTGTAATATGAGTAATTTGTAATATGAGGTTTTCTGCGTCAGCTTTTTGAAAGGGTAGTTGAGGAACTTTATAGTGTTAACTCATTTGGCTAAACTAGCAAGACTTCCTTGCAAATGAAAAAACTCCCTCAACGATAAGATGAGGCTTATAAAAATAAAACACTGCAAAAAACAGCAGAAAAAAGTATTTTATTATTTGCAACAAACAAAAAACAATCAATAGAAAAATTTGGGAATACGAAACAGAAAATGTTGCCCGCAGAACATTATAAGCATTGGTACTCAACCAGATAAGTCACAAATAATAACTGGCTTCTTTCCGCTAAAACTAGGAACTTTATTCTATATAAGTAAATTACCTTTACTAGTTTACTTTGTAAAGCACTTCTCATAAAGTATTCTTCTGAAACTTTTAGCGACATCAAGATAAAATTAAGATAAATTGTATAGGTCTCATCTCCATTAGTAATTCCGTGTAAGCATTCCCAGTGAAACGTTAACAACTGAGTGGAAGTTAATTACTTTTAGCTAAAACTGATTTTGAAGAATTATTGTATTACCGCCATGAAATTTTTTCGTTTCTTCAGCTATACTTTTTCAAAGTAATTGATATGATATATAAGTTATATTAATGCGGTTATGTGTTAAAGCTAATTAGAAAGCAGTTATGTGGTGTATCTAAAAGGGAAATTGAGAGCAGACTGGTGCCAGTCGGACAATTACGAAATACAAAATTTACATATCGACTCAAATGGGTCGGCAGAGCAGAAAAAGCTACCGTATAGTGATGCAGATTTCGGTGAAAACAGGCCAGCCAATTTTCTGTATTTGCAGCTTCAGTCATCTTATTTTCGTCAGTTACACTTTAATAATTTAACCTCTTTTGGTCATTATTTTTACTTTACTCAAGATTAGAAATTGTAAATATTTGTAGATTGTAAACTAGCATCTGGTACACGCCAATATTTTGCTTTTCTTAGTGACGTAAGTTTAATTACCAAAGTTCTGCAGCTATAAATAAAGCATTTTGAGCCGCTTTAAACTTGTTCATGGTCTCTCTTTTTCATTAAGAGATTTAGTCTAAAAAATCGAAGGCTTCAGAAAATATGCGGCAGTTTCACAAAAAATAAATAAATAAAATAAATAAATGTTTCAAGTTTTCTCTGACAGCAAGTGAGAAAACATATCAACAAAATAAAAGAAGCTACTTGTCTTTTTTTTTTTTTGACTTGGTTTGTAAACCGTATTTTATTCCATTCATATAACTTGGAGTAACTAAAGCTTGGTCATGAACTTTTTCTATCTTTAGCAATTCCTTTAAATATGATAAAGGGTGGTTTTGTTGAGAGATTCACTGCAATGTTGCCCTTTATTTTTAGAACGGCTCCATCTTTGCAATAAATCTTTTTTTGTAAGTGAAAAGCTCATTTTTAAAAGTTCCCCAAATGGCAAGTGAAATTTTTCCTTTTTGAAGTTTCACTAGAACTGTGTCTTGTGCGCAACCGACAACTGTAAAATTTTATGCAAGAAAATTTTATAGTATTATGAACCCAAGAATTTGAGTCAGTCTATAAGAAGGCCGTCAGGAATTCCACTTTATCTTTTGCGCTTTCTTCTTCGACGGTACCCTTTGAGGGCGCCTGCAGATACTGAAGCAATACTGCACGTCCCAGGCCAACTGACATCATAGCAAATGACACGCGATAGCTTGCTGAGGTCGACTGTAGACAACAGCTAAAAAAAGCTATAACCAGTTGATGCCAAAATGCTCAATGAAGTGGAATTTGAATTTCTGCCGAGTTAATTTTGTCATAGAATAGTATGACGAATAAAATCTTGAGCATTGTTCAAATGTCATTTGAAGTAAAATTTATAGAGGAATTCGTTGCAGATGACTGTGAACGGCGTTAAATAAGTGTAGAAATGTTGTTACTCGTCGATGGGTTTGAAGAATGCAATTATAGAAGGAATCCAGATAAATTGCAAATTCCTTAAGTTGCAAATCCAAATGTCTTCAGCCACAAAGACAACGTATTGACAACGTTCCTCCATCTCCGCAGTGGATTCTTCGTCAGATATGTGGACAGTCACTATAAAAACAAGCACATCTTTTTCAATTTTTATCTTTTTATTTACCTGCCGCAAAGGGACAGTGTATGTATAAGTGTGTTTAAGTGCGAAGAATTTGTTGGTGTACACCATGTCACATTACAATCCTGTGTTCATTTTTTTTTTTTATTGAATTGAAAGATAAAGAAAAGATTATTTACCAGGAGTATACCGTTCACTTTAGAAAAAGTTTTCAAAAAAAAATTTTTTTTCTTAAACTAGATGCTTCTCGCAATCATTATAGGTAGTGCGCATGGCTTCCAGTCACATAATCCTTTACTCAAGCGGATAGTTTTGTACTGTCATGCATAGGTAAAGGAATTGAATCTAAAAGTAGGTTGAAGGCTCTGTTTAGAACTGCTTTCAGTTGGTTAGTGAAGAAAATTTGCTTTTATATTTATAGTATGCAAAGTTTTTTTTGAAATTTAGCAGCCTTGCGTCCGTACTAGTGAATAATTTGTACAAAAGCCCCGGATCACAGTCACGAGTGTGTTTTCAAAGTGTCCTTACTCCAGTGGAAGAATCTAAGGGAAGGAAATACGAAACCAGTTGGCAGCGGTATCATGCAAAAGGAACATCTGATTTGGGAAACACGTATTGTATGTCTCGGGTCAAAGCAGATTCAGTTGCAGGTTTGAGAGTTGTAAGATAGTTTTGCAGTTGTCTTGGAGCGATTTCCTGAACGCGGAAAGACGAATTTACGAATTTTGCGTTTGATCTGCATCGATTTTGAGTTTGTTGTGTACGCCAATGTTTATTCGGGGGGTTGATTCCTGTAATAAGAAGTTCTTCTTTAGTAGCGATGATCATTTGGAAGTATAAGGTTTGGTGTGCTGCAGTGGTTTATACATCTGTAGTTGTAGGATTTGGTTTTTTCACTAACTTATCTCTTACGTAGTGCTTGCAATTCACACTGCTGGTCAAACGGTTATTTAAGTAATATCATAAACTTCAGGAACCAAATGCCTCCAAAGAAGTGCAAAGCAAAAAACAAACTACATAAGCTTGCAATTGTTATAAGCCCTGGAACAGTTATAACGGACACTAGAAAACAGAAATTTGTTATCGAAGAACATTTCGCTCAGGGAGGCTTTGGCCGCATCTACTCAGCACATTTGGTTAGTTTTTCATTTCTAGTTCTATGCTTATTTAATTCTGGACTAAAAACAGCATGGTGGGTTGAAACGTTCGGATCTACAAATTTGAAAACGTTTACTTCAGCATAATGGGTTGCGTTTTTTAAATGTGGACTTCTATTGGGTGATTCTCTTGGAGCGGAAAAGGTAGTTGGATTGGGCTATAGTGAGGTCGTTATGAGCAAGAGGTATGAGCAAGTTTAATTAGCCTTATTCAAAGGCAGGTTGAAAATATGGAGAAAGAATCGCAAGTGCTAAGCGTAATTTTTAGTTTGAGTGTGTTAAGAAGAATAAGTGCTATGCTTTTCTTCGGGTTTTCTTTGATGACACTGCTAAAAATTGTTTGTCGGAATCAGTGTCTCGGAAACTGTGTGTTGATATTTAGTGGTTCCTTTTTCTGTGATTTTATTTCAGTTGTTTTCTAAGCTTTGAAAAATAATAGCGTTTTTTGAGCAGTAATTTATGCTGTGACACCAACTGTTGCTCTCCATAATTTGGTGAGAAAGCTTTATAATAATCACTGATTCTGCTGTTTTTTTATCGTTATTATGTTAAAAACTGTGGAGTAGTAATGTTGCAGAATGATAGTAAGGAGTATGGAAGGCCTAAAAGTTTGGCTATCAAGATTGAACCAAAAGGTAATGGCCCTTTATTTACCGAAATAACAGTGTTCCAGAGGATGTTGAAAAGTGATTTGCTGGCTGCTTGGCAAGAATGTCACAGTATGTTTAAACCATTTTGCATTTCAATGACTCTTAGTTAGTAGGGCGAGTTTTTCCTGAGTTTAAACTAATAAATAATAGGCCAGTTCGTGTGAATATGTATTTATACGTATTTATTTATGGATCACTCAGTGCTACATCGCGCGCTGTGGAAAATTTATGTTCCTGACAAGCTTGAAGGGTTTGTAGATTTGAGAGCCGTACTTGTCTGGCAAAAAGGTTCATAGCGAAAACTGTGTGGCTTGCCAAGTTGATCTTTAAATTTTTTGACAACGCCGAGTTTTTCAGGAAATTCTGTGGTCGTTCACGAATTTGCATTTGTGCTTACAATTTGCGTAGTCTTATAATTACTCTTTCGCTTGGCAAACTATTGCAATAAATTTTAAGAAGAAAGGAAACGACGTTTTTACTTTTTTCAAAACTTTTTATTGCGCTTTTTTTTGTAAATAATGTAGAAGTCGTTCACTGCGTACTCTATGAGGTCTGGAGCTACAGCATCTGATGTAGTTGAAAAAGGAAAGAGTTGATTTGCAAACGCAATATTCTGCCGCTTTCACGTGACAACACTTATTTTTCCACTGTGAATTGCTGTCTTACAAAGCATTGTACGTTTAATAAAGCCTAATAAAATCTTTTTCCTGCAAATGTTCTTGAAGTTTCAAGCTGTCTTTAAACATATTTATTTGATATTTACATCTTTTTTGCCTTCTTTAATAGTTCTGCGCTGCTCGTCTTCCAACACTAACTCTGATCTCATCATTGTGTTTTTAGATGACTTCTGCTTTCTGGAGCGGAGGTTTTTATAAAAGCTTTACTATCCATTTTTTGCTTAACAAATTTAAAGCATTCCAGCAGCTATTATTCCTGAATCCTGGGTAAATGAGATTTGTTTCTTGAAGAAGTATTTGGTGAAAAACAGTAATCTGCTTAAGTGGTGCTTTTAGAAATCTCTGACAGTAATTTTTTATGTTTCTGGTGGTGTTAAACCTGTTCTACTTTGAATTACCTATGCGACTGAAGTCTGTCGCAACCCATATCGATTAACTCATCATATTGTTTGAGCAATCTCTACCTGTTTTTCACGCGGAGGCATAGATTCATTATCTAATAAATCCAAAAACAAACCAAATTTTGATATCAGTTTTGTTAATTTTAGTGCTAGTGCTTGTGGTTGGTTTTCCAGTTTTGGTAACTTTTTCCTTTTGTAGAAGTGTCTCACCTTGGTTTACCTCCTCATTTGGGAAGTGGTGTGTTTGTATATAAAGGGGAAGAGCTACGTTTCTTAGCGATGCCAAGATATAGTCGGTCCTTTGAAAGTTATCGTGTAGAGTGCGGAGGCAAAGTAGAGCCACACATTGCCCTTCGAATTGCTAGGCAGTGCACAGACTGTTTAAGATATATGCAGGATCAGGTTAGCATTTGTTGGTATGAATCTTATAATGCATTAATTCTCCTAAGTAATTAATTTTTATCACGACTTATTTGCTGTTAGAAAGTGAAAAAAATTAATATTTTTCTAAAATTCTTCGTTAGAGGGTGGGATTTTATAGTGATTTTTTCAAACTACTTTCAAGATCTAAATATTCCTTTTTAAAGTAGTAATTTTTGTGGCTTGGGCGAGTCTCTGACTGTGTTGCTTTGGATTTGGTATTTTAGTATTAATGTTCTTTTAAAGGTTCACTTGTCAATTTTCTTTTCAAAGTTTAAACTGATTTTACCCTTATAAGTTTGTTACGCTTTGTTTTTACGATTTTACCCTTATAAGTTTGTTACGCTTTGTTTCTTCTTGCCTTTTCGAAAATTGCGTCTTCTATTTAGGATTATGTACACGGAGACCTTAAAGCCGATAATATTCTGCTTGCATCTGACGGGGATTTTTCGAGGTGCTACTTAGTTGATTTTGGTTTGGCTCGTATGATAAAGAGTAATGTTGATAAACCAGATAAAAAAAGAGGTTTGTCATCTAAATTATTGTACTTGCAAATAAAAGGCTTGACGTAATTTTACCTGATACTCGGTTACTTTTTTAAAACGTAAGTTCAATTCAGTCACTTCTTGATACAACCATATATTTTCCATTTTCCGGTTTTTTTTTTTATTATACCTATTTTATAAGCATGTTGTCGTGGTTCTTTCTTTTCATTCTGGTGGCTTTTCCCAGTAAGGAGATCAAAAATTTTCTAGCTCACAACGGCACATTAACTTTCACTTCTATTGATGCTCATAGGGGTTGTTTCCCCTCTCCACGTGGAGATTTAGAAATACTTTCTTACAATCTTTTGTTTTGGGTTGCTGGACATCTTCCATGGCAAGATGTAGAAGACAGCCCCGATAGCGTATGTTTTTACTAATCAGTCCTAGTTTGTTTAATGGTCAGATACTCTTCATTTTTCAGACCATAGACCAATTTTTTCTCTTCCTCTGCACAAATAAATTGTTTTGAATACATTTAAAGCTTATAAATATGATATTAGACCATTTTGCCTCCGTATCGTTTTGACCTTCATATTCTTAGGTTTACTCTAAAAAATCCGATTTTTCTGAAAATTATGAAACAGATGTTCGCGGAATGGTTGCTGCTGAGGTCGCTAAATGCATCGTACAGATGCTAAGAGTTGCATATGAATCTCCTTATAATGGAAAGATAGATTACAGTCCAATTAACAAGGTTTCTAAAAATTTTTTTAATTTCACCGCTGATTATTTTATTTAGCCATGTTTTTTTTTTAAATATGCTAAGTTTGTATCTTAGGATTTGAATTGATTTTTGGGATTACACGAGCCGTTATTTATGATTGCTGTTTAAAATGAGCGCTTATTTTGTAGAGGGTTGAAGGCATCGCAGTCAGCATTTAGGTGGTAGCGGCTTTTCAGTAGGATAAGGAAATCTCAATTTTATTCAATTTTAGGAATCTGGTTAATTCGTCAGTCAGTTTTTTAAGTAACGCTTTGTCTTCTTGTACGTTTCTTCGTAAAAAAGTAGCAATTTGGCAGTTTAGCACTACCGACTACGATTTATTAGAATAGCGTTGTTTTTAGGCAATTGATTTTGCGATAAGATCAACGGCTAAAAATGCTGCGGCTGCTCGAATTGCCTCCGATTCACCAAGAGAGGAAGTTACTGAAGTGCGTAAAAGGAAAAGAAGTGAAAGCGGAAGAGAAAAAGGCACCTTTGGCAGTAAAGGTTGTTGTTGCAGTAATGCGTCTGAAATGTTTTTTCGTCAAAAGTTGATAGTTGATAGCTGTTTTTGAAAAAGTTTTTCGAGGTTTTTGCAGCTGGGTAGTCATATTTTTATGTACATCGTTTAGGTCTTAAGTTTATTAGCTACAGTGGCTGGCGCTGCTGGGCATTGATTTGGTGAAAAATCGTTATATGTAGTTTGCCATATAGGTTGTGCAAGTCGCTATCCAACAAGTGGTGCTGTAAGAGTCAAGAGGATAAAGCGGCTACAAAAACAGTCTGAACAACTTAAAAAACCAACCTCTTCAAAAGTTGACAAAAGCGAAGAAATTCGTCAAAGTATTGCTTCCAAAAATGATAGCAACGCGTCATTAGGTTGGACCCTTTGTTATGTTTCATACTGACCTAAAACTCAGACTTGTTTGTTTTGCAAAGGCAATTAAAGCATGATGCTTTTTCAGTGACTTTAGTTGTGGATTAGCAAAAGTTGCCGAAATTTTATAAGGCGTATGAGTGCTCTTCCAGGTCATTCAAGTGAAGAGGTTTTTATTTTTTGTTGATGTGGCTTTTATGTACTATTTTATAGGTTCAGCTCTGAATTCATCACAACTGTCTGTGGAAAAAGCGGAATTGAGTTCTTTTATACCCGGTGTACGTAACATGAGGAGGGTAAGGCGTTCGCTAGATAAAAAATTAACTCAAAAATACAAAGCTGATAAAAAATAATTGTTTGCTACTAGTTTTTAAATATGTTGATGTCAGGATGCTGTTAAGTGCATGGGAAGTTTTTTTGAACTTGCCATATTTTGAAATTTTTTATTTCTCTTGACACTGAATATGTACATCTTTGCAAGATCTAGAAATCTGCTTCGTAGTTTGAGGGAAGCATGAGAATTACTTCACTAATGATAAACATTTGGAAGAAAGTTAAGGTATTACCTGTGATGTTCAATTAGAAAGTATGTTTTATTTGCTTTTACTGTTTTCAATGTCTAGGACATGTGAAGTGACTTAGAAAGATGCGGGAGCTACAAGTTATTGCCTTTCACAGGTAATTAAGGCCTCCGTTTATGGTATATATAAATTATGTTTGTGTATTGTTTGTCTTTCTTAGATTGACGTTTACAGAAACATTGCTACACTAAATATTTTCAGCTGTGGTTTCTGAGGGACTTTTAAAATAGTTTTTAGCTTTTTTTACTCGTGAGGTATGATAATTTGGTAGTCTTTTTTCTCGAGAGAAAGTGTGAGGCTTTAATTTTGGTATTCTAAAATTTAAAGGCCTTTAGTTGATTGCGTATCTTTTAACTGGAAGAAATGTGGTCATTGGTCAGGCAGAAGACGATCAAAGAAACTATGACGATGAAGCGTATATGGATGTTATAGACGACCGTGATGGTCTGGGTGCGGTACTAGAGAGCAAGCGGACAGCCGTCTGAAGGAGATGGTTTGTCTTGAGAAAGGTAGTTAAGAGCTTTGGGACCCAGCAGTGTAAGAGCAGCACATGCGCAATCAGGACACTACGGATGGCTTATTCTTAGATGTATCGGACGCAGCTTCAAATTTTTCTGGTCAAACTTCCGAACTTTGATGGGAACTTTAGACTGTGGGTACATTTTGGTCTTGCCTCAAAAGGACAGTTGAGAGATAGAATTTGTCACAGATTCGAAAAGTGATTATTTCTCGCCTTTTTCCAAAGGCGAAGCTCAAAAGCTGCGGATACACTGTTGGGGAGGAGTGCACGGTAGTAGTAGAGACTAAATGAATAGTGTGTTAGCCGGGCTCAGCCAAAGCGGCTTTGCATAGAGATTTACACTCATTTCAACCAGTTAGTTGCAAGGGTGTTTCTACTGAAGTGATTGGTGGTATTGAACGCATTCTTAGACAGCTTGAAGCTTGGGAAAATGAAGTAGAAGGACTATGTACTTTGTGAGCATAGTCGAAGATCAGTGGTGTATTTGAGTAACGGGAAAGCTGGAAGAAAGGGGAGATTGGCCACTCTAGGTTTTGGGATTTTTTCAAACAGTTTAGCTCATATATGACTATTATGCAATTAACAGCGTGCTTTTAATACTCTAAATACTCATAAATTTAGTATAAGTATAAGTTTAGAAATAAAAGCTTCTAAGTGCACATGAAAGTATTTGAGGTCTATGTAATTCCGACAGGATTTCTTTTCTAAGTACTTTTAAAGAATTGAGAAACTACGTTTCTTTCGTTTACTACTTTACAACTTTATATTAACCATTATGACCAGCAAAGTTACAAAAAAGCTTTTAGCAAAATAAGGAAATTCTAATTACACATTGGTCATCGAGCATTTTC